ATCTTTATACACTTGTCGAGTTATTTTCCTATAAAATGCAGGAACACACATAATTAGAAAATCAATGAACACATGTAATAATTATTTACAAAATTCACCAAACATGCAACAATTATTTAGAAAATAAAAAACCATATGCAATAATTAAATAAACATAAGTAATAATTATTTACAAAATAAAAACACACATGTTTAAGTTGATTTTTTCCTTTTTCTTGTCTTCTTTTAATCTTTTCCTTGCTTACTCTTATCTTGAATCCTTTTTCTTCTCTTTGAAATCCAAATACCTTCAGTATGATCATTTCTCATATAGAAGGCACACCTTCAGTGAAATCATTTTCAAGTGATGTTCCTAAAAATGGATCATCCTTCCTATTATGTTATTTTACATACCAAGTTTCACCTCTATTAGGATTATCCTTCTTAAGCTCAGCCAAGTGTTTATTTGCAAATTCTTAGACCTCTTTTGAGTTCTGTAACACATAAAGGTGTGCTTGATCCCATTATAAATTTGAGATAGTAACTACATTATTTCCTATTATCCCTTTCCTACCTTCCCTTCCCATATGTCAAGACACTAATAGCCCAATATAATTGACAATTTTTTAAATACTCAGTACAAAATTTAACCACTTCTTTACTGATATACCATTCAATAATGCAATCCTCAAGTCGATTATGGTTTTTCACATACTCTGTTAATATCTTCATATAACGCTCTACAGGATACATCTATCTTAAATAAGCTGAGCCACACATTTGTACATTCTTCACTAAGTGAATGGTCAGGTGAACCATTATGTCAAAGAAAGCAGGTGGGAAATACATCTCTAGCTCAAATAATACTTTTCAATTCAGCTTTGTAACTTTGACAATTTGTTGGGGTCAATCACTTTACTGCAGATTTGAAGAAGAAACATAATTTTGTGATTGTGTCTCACACCCTATTATGTAAAATAGAGTATATCGCCACTAGAATAAAATTTTCCATTAAAAAATGGCGGTCATAAGATTTTAAACCTTTTAGCTTTAGGTCTTTCATTGACATAAGGTTTTTAATATTTGATGAACAACCTGTTGGAACTTTAACTACAGCAAGAAACTCATAAAAAGAAATTTTTTTCTTTTTTAGACAATGTGTGAGCTGCTGGATGAAGAACGGTGTGACTTCCCTTCTCATCTAGTGCTAAGTGTTCCCTTATCCCTATAGAAAGCATGTCTAACCTTGTATTAATGCCATCTTTGGTTTTTCTAGAAATATGAAGTAACGTACTAACAATACTATCACACATATTTTTTTCGATGTGCATCACATTAAGAAAATGCCTAACATACAAGACCTTTCAATATGGTAGCTTGAAAAAAGTAGACTTTTTCTTCCACCTACTGTCCTAGGGTACTATAAAAAAGGTTTCCCAAACTCGATATACAAATCCTTAATCTTTTCAAACAATTGGTCATCGGTCAACATTAAAGGCTAGCCACGTTCTTCTGAATTCCCATTAAAACATTTCTTCAATTACCAATAATAATGACTTGGATGCAACCACCTGCGATGCCCCATATAAACATTCTTTATAGCATGCTCCAACCTAATTGAATCTGTGTTTTCTTCATAAACAGGGCATCCAAGTTTTCTAGAAAGTCAGTTATGGTACCAAATAACAAGGCTCTCAAATTAAATTTTTCTTCCCCATACCTATCATACACCTCAACCCTTATCTCGCACAATAACTTGAAGTCTTTAATTAGAGGAGCCAAGTACACATCTATGTCATTTTTGAGTTTTTTATCCTTGAAATTAGCATGGATAGCATCATGTATTGGCGTTTCATGCATAACCATAAAGGCAGATTATAAATTATCAAAATCACTGGCCAAGTGTTATGGGTACTACTTTGGAGACCATGTAAATTCATTCCATCTGTAGATAATGCAAGGCATAAATTTCTTCATTCTTGTCCAAATTTAGGGTACCCATGATCAATCCTTGCCCATTGAGGAGAGTCAGCAGGATGCCGTAATTTTCTATTTTTAATCCACTCATCTACATGCCATATTAAATTTTTTGCATCTTCTTTGCTACTATACAATTGTCTGAATCTAGGCACAATAAGAAAATACCATAATGCCTTCTTTAGACTTTTTCCATTTTCTTTGAAGCATGATGCTTTATATTTTAGACACTCAGTTAATGATTCATATTCATTTTTAAACAATATGTAATCATTTGGCCAAGCATGAATTTTTTCATAACTCATGCCAGTAACACATAACATTTGTTTTGCTTGATACGTGTTAGTAGGAAGCTCGTTCACTTTAGGTAGCATAACTTTAAGAAGTGAAAGCAATTCACTAAAGCTCTTATCACTCCAACTATTGCTCGCTTTCAAGTTCTACAAACTTAACAACCCTGACAATAATGTGAAATTGGTACAATCACTATACAAAGGCTTTTCTGCATCACTTTTTAACCTCTCAAGCATTTCAAGACAGTCCTTCAATTCCTCTTCAATTGCCCTAATCATCTCTTCAAGATGGTTTTCCTCATCAGCCTCATATGTACTTGTATCAACATCATATGACATGTGGCTCTTATTATATCCACAGTTCCATCTCTTACCTCTCCATGTTTGTGCTAACATTTATTGCTCTGATCAATTTCATAACACACTAAATGATCTTTCAATTTAAATGCACAAACCCACTTAATCAGACAATTTTACACAAGGGCACATAATACTATACTAGTATGATTATTTATGTGCTCAAGTGACTTAGTAAATTCTTTCACCCCATTCAAGTATTCCTTTGTTAATTGATTGGAAAACATCCATTCCTTATCCATCTTGTAGATCTAGAAAGAATCATTTGAGAAAAAATGTGAATAGTGACTCATTGATATTAGGTCTTCATTAATCAAATAATGAATCATAAGTCACATGCTTTCACTCATAATTCCTCTTTAGGCTTTATTGACTACAAATACTTAAACTAAATTAATAAAGAATTTATTTTAAGTAAAAATTTGTCTACGAAGTAATAAAACATGAAGTTTTTTCACATTTAAAAATTAGGCAGCATAACAGCTTAAAAATTGAATATTCTTGTGCATTTGGCCCCCTCTCTTTATATTAAATTTATTCCCTATACAAGCTTTAATATAATATAATTCAATTTAAGTAAAAATTTGACTATTAAGTAATAAAAGTTTTATTACGATGTAAAAAATTTGGTAACATAACGGCTTAAATATGGAATACCCCTTAAAATAGCAATCAACTTCATATCACATATTAAAATAATACAATTCAAGCCAAACATTGTCAAGCATCAATCAAATAAAGAGTGAGTTGGTGCGGGATTTATGTTTATATGTTCATATTCTTTCCAAATTAATCCTAAGTCAAGCCACTTGACTACTTACTAATAAACTTGTTAATTTTTATTTCTACATAAGAAAAAAAAAATTGGTAGCACAACGGCTTATACTCAAATATTTTCTGGCATTTTGCCATCTCTTCATGTTGAATTTTATCCTTATACAATCTTAAACATAAACATAATTCAATCCTATTTAGTCACAATAACAATCACATTCACGCAACTTAAGTATTTTGCCACAATATGCCAAATTCTCGTAATGGATATTTTATCAAACACCTTGCAAGAATTACTCTTTACTCTAAAATTCCAAATTCTTTCTCTTCAAAATTCCACCCAAAATTATACATATGCATCAAAGTTAAACTCTTTAAGCTTAAATTTTTCAGCTTTGCCCAAAGCCTCATCTCCAATAATCACATATAGTAGCTAACTGAAGGAAAAAATTAAAACTTAAACCACTAAAAAATTCAAAACACAATAGAAATGAGAAATCAGCAAAGAGGAAAAAATCCAACACAATACCATTTCAGCAACAACAACTCAGGTAAAAAATTAAAATACCTTAGAGATTCAAAAGGGGTAAAAACTTATTGATTATAAGTCAAAAAATGGAGGCACAGAAGTTTTACAGTTGAGAACAATCTCAAACACAGGAACCACGACAAGAGCTTTGGCAAAAAACATTGGTAGGGAGAATCCGCTTTTGGGATAGCAAGTAGGGCACAAGAAGCAATGCATTTTCAAGAAAATCATTCAACTAAGTGGGAGAATGGTTCGATTTTGTTAGATTTGGGGAGAGAATGGCAGGGTTTAGAGAAGATAGGAAAGAGAGTGGAGATGCTGTCTGCGCGTGATGAGTCTGGTAGAGAGAAAGAGTCCAAATTTTAAAAGAGTAAGTTAGACGATTCCTTGAATAACTGTCAAACTTAGTCTCTATATTTAATAGTTAATATATAACCGTAAAATATATTCACACATTTACTTGACGGTTATAATAAAAATCGTCAAACTTATGAAAATAATTTTCTGAAAATATAAACTTTAAAATACTTAACACTAAGTTTAACGTTCCTGATATAACCATTAAGTATGTGATTTTTCAATTTTCACATACTCTTATTTAACATTTTTTGTAATAACCGTCAAACTTAAATATATCAAATATTATAAAATTTGTAGTAGTTTAATGGTGCGGTAATACTTAGTTGAACCATAAATTTCAAAACACAATACTCAGTTGAATCGTCAAATATATGTGAAGTAGTTGAGAATTTAGATAGTTTTCAAAAATCAACGAAATATGCCATGAAAATAAATAATTTTTTTTTAACAAAATATTCAAAGTTCTGTGGCTAATGTCAATAGTCAAATATGCGAGCGCGCATTTGTTGAAGAAGTTTGACTTTGAACAAACATACACTTGAATATGATTGGACAACGTTGCCGTCTGATGCGTTTTATTCCATTATTCAATTAATCAACCAGTAGAATACGGTTGCTTCTTATCCTCATCGAACTCCAGTTTATTCAATTAATTAAAAATAAAATTCTCGTTTGTCGAACATTGCTCATAAAGTCAATACCACTCAATAAGCCATCCTATATCAGCACTATCTTCAGCGACATACAACTTCCCAAGCCTCAACATCAAGAAAAGTCACAATACAACATGTCCGACAACAACATCCCAAGAGTGGTTCTACCCGACGGCAACAGTATGCCGGTGATCGGCCTAGGCACCAGTGCGCTTCAAACTCCCGGCGAGGTCACCAAGACGGCAGTCCTGGAGGCTATCAAAGTTGGGTACAGACACTTTGATACTGCTTCACTTTATGGGACCGAGCAGCCACTAGGGGAAGCTATGCAAGAAGCTCTCAAACTTGGCCTTGTCGGGTCCAGAGACGAACTCTTCATCACTTCCAAGCTTTGGTTCATTGATGCTCATCCAGATCGTGTCGTTCCTGCTCTCCAAAAATCTCTCGGGTGAGCTTCAACTGCTCTTGTTTTTGTTTTTTAAATTTAAATTTGGGTCAACTCAGCCGATTGAACCCATAATTACAGTTTTGATTATTAATTCTTAAATTAATATCTCGATTGATTCAATGACTAATTTGATTTTTAATATCTTGCATGGAATTCAAAATTCATGCCTTGTGGGGTTTTTTCAGGTTACTAAAACTGGAATATGTGGACCTGTATCTGATCCACATGCCTTTCAGTTCAAAGCCTGAGAGCAACGGTCTATTCCCTTCACAAGAGAACATAGCACCATTAGATATAAAGGGTGTGTGGTCAGCAATAGAAGACTGCAAAAAATTGGGTCTCGCAAAATCAATTGGAGTCAGTAACTTCCCTGTGAGGACACTAGACGCTTTATTGTCAGTAGCTACTATTCCTCCTTGTCTGAATCAAGTAAGATCATCAATCTTATACTTGCAGTTTTCTTCTTACGCGTGTTTCTGGTTCTTGCTTCGCCATATATTCTTGATATATATCTTAGCATGCATGTGGTTATAATAATGACTGATATATTAAGGATCACTATACCTAAGATAGTATGACCAAGCCCCCCTTCCAAATTTTATTTATAAGTTATTTTTAAATTAAGAAAAAATTTAAATCTCATTATTTTTATCTAAAAATTCAACAAGTTTTCAACTTTATTTTTATTAAATATACATATTTTAAAAATAAAATACTCTACTATTTAATAATCTTCTTAGTATTTAATATGGGCAAAATGGTAGAAATGAAAATAAAAATCATAGAGATATTTAAATAGGATCAAAATAAATATTTTTATTTTTTGCTATGTAAATGGAACTGAAGTAGTAAAGTATTATATAAATATTTAACTACCAACTATCCTTTGACCTTTAAAATAAAAGGAGCGTTGAAGAGAGGTTATAATTATTTTTATGATACAGGTGGAAATGAACCCTACTTGTCAACAAAAGGAGCTAAAAGCATACTGCAAAGAAAAGGATATACTTATAACAGCATATTCTCCTCTCGGGGCTCCAGGTTCATGGTGGGGCAACAATCGTATCATGGACAATGAAACACTCAATGACATAGCTAAATCTCATGGCAAAACAGTTGCTCAGGTTTTAATTTTAGTTAATTTCAAGTTGGTTTCAAATGTTTGAAGTGGTTACTCTGTTCATGATGCTGCTGCTGCTTAATTAATGTCGTCTTCTCTTATAATCGTTGAAATGATGAACTGATCGATAATATATTACAATTCAATTGCAATTCTTTTGGTGTAATAGGTCGCTCTGAGATGGCTGTATGAGCAAGGAGTGGGATTCATTGCCAAGAGTTTCAACAAAGAGAGAATGAAACAGAACTTAGAGATATTTGATTGGTCACTTAGTGAACATGACTTGGAGAAGATAAGTAAAATTAAACAGATAAGATTACATCAGGAGAACCCTATGTTGGAATACATTGCTTAGCCTGATGCTTACATGGTTCATAAACTCCATGCTAAGTTATATCATATACAATAACGACTTTGTTTTATAGTTTTTCTTGTTTTATTTTCTTATATATTTAGTGCATTTGAATTTTTTAACTGGTACCCACATCTGAACTAGCCTCGGACGGTTTATTTATTTTTATTTTGTTAATGTCTTTGTTCTTCCAATAAAGTGGTTATTTGCCTTGCCAATCAACGAACCATTGTTGTCCATTGTAATTTAGGCGGAATGCGGAACTAGAATATATATATGTATAGCAACTTTTATTGCTTTATGTTTGAAGGAGTTATTGATTTAATTCCTCAAGTTTAATTTTTATCATTTCAATCCTTAATATTTTATAAATTTATCTAAATGGTCTTTAATCTTATGAGATAAATTAACACCATTAAATTACACTGACATAGGTAATGAAAATGCGGCAGCCATGTAGATTAATAATGTGAAAAGCAATAATGTTGACTTTGATAAGAAAAAGCCACGTAATTTTTTTTAAAAAGTAGATTAAATTAGGAATTATACTACAACAACAATAACTAGCCTTCACTGGCTAGTGCAAAATACTATTTTAACGATACCATTTTTACAACAGTTGCCTAAATAATTGTGGAGATAATATATTTAGTGAAAAACATAATTTTTAATCCCTGCACTTTGTATATGATTTGTTTTTGGTCCCTACACTTTATTTTTGAGGTTTTAAGTCCCTACAATTTTCTTCATCTGCACTTTAAGTCCCTACACTTTTAGAGGGATGCTAACATGGCATTAACAGTGTTAGTTATGCTAATGTGGATAATAATATTATTAATTATATGGTGATGTGTCACTTAGTGGCTAATGTATATTTTTTTTTAAAAAAAAGAAAAGCTTATGTGTATTTTTTTTAATTATTATACATATAAAGGTAGGGTTCAAGGCTATGAAAAAAATGTCACGTGTCTATTTTTAGGTTTGTTACAATTCTATGTTTTAAGGTGCTTTTTTTGCAATTCTGTGCTCCAAAATCAGGTTTGAAGTTAGGTTCAGGATGATTTATTATTTTTTAATGTATGTAAAATATATTATTCAGGTTTAGAGTTAGGACAATATTTTCTCACTTTTTGATTATTAGAAAAAATACTCCCTCAAGTCTTATTTATAGGACATATTTAGAAGAAATTTTTGGTTCAAGATATAATATATTTAATAATATAGTTATATCACTATTTAAAGCCAAGGGTAAAAATGAAAATTCATATCATTTTTTATGATATAAAAAAACTAACTTTTTCTAAAATGCATGAAATGATTAAAAGTGTTTTATAATAAGATCAAAAGGAGTCCACATCAGCTTTTCTTTCTTTTTTCCTCACAAAAAAATACACATCATCCACTAACTAACATGTCACCATATAATTAACGGTATTATTGTCCACATCAATATAATTAACACTGTTAGTGCCACGATATCACCCCCCTAAAAGTATAGGGACCTAAAGTATGGACTGAAAAAACTATAGGAACTTAGAACACTGAAAATAAAACATAGGGACCAAAAGCAAAGCACATGCAAAGTGTAGGAACTAAAAGTTATGTTTTCCCTCCATTTAGTGCCAAATATGTAAATATGGGGGATATATAGTTATTTTTGAAACAGTTATAAAGATCAATTGTTTCCATAATGAATTTATCATCATAAATAAAAAAAATAAAATGTAATATTTTAATTAATTTAAATTATCAATTTTTTTCATTATTTTAAAATTAATTATATATTGTAATGACCTAAATTTTTAAGTAAAATTAAAAATGTATTTTGATTGTATTTTATTAATATTCAGAGTAAATGCAAGAAGAGCTAAAGAAGGAAGGGTGGTTTAATGCATCTATCGTGGGTGTTTAAGTTCAATTCTTGAGTTCAAATCCTCTTAGCAAACATAGAGGAATTTTATTTTTGCCTCAGACATTGAAAAATTATATTGTCCTAACAAAGCCCATCAGATTTCCCCCCTTTTTGTCTATCATTTTCCCTGATCAGTTTGTGTGTCTTGGACCGTAGAGAAAGCCAGAGAATTTGTGTCCTATAAGCTTCGAACCCTCAATCTTGCAATCTCTATCCTCTGCCTCATCTCTGTTATCTAGAATATTCTCTAAATTCTTTTATCATTATTGTATATATATCTCAGTCATTATTAGGAGATATTATTTGATATTATTATGTAATTTTTAATCATTATTAGGTTGTCTTTTTCTTGATGTATATATTGTACCTTTCAACTCAATAATAGACAAGATATTTTCTCCATATTTCTCTTGCTCCTTTCATGGCATCAGAGCTGTATTTTTTTTCCCGCTCCTTCTTCCAGTACTACATCTCCATCATCTGCTTATTTCATCCTTGACACTGCCCTTGGCTGTTCTTTTTTCATCTGCTCGTTTCATCTATTTTCTCTTCTTCCTCATTGAATTTTTAGAACTTCTCTTTCTGATTAAGCCAATCCATGTGGACTCTTTTATTTTGAGATTCTTACTTCACCGTGAAATTCTCGTTTAATCACCGTCTCCTCTTGGTCTTTCTTATTTATTATTTTTTTACCCCTTATTCTTCAATGGAAAAATCTGAGTTTGCTCAATCTATTTCTATTTTATTGACTGGTCCTAACTATCGCTTATGGATGGAAAGCATGCGTGGTTTTTTGAAAAGCAAGAAACTTCGGCGATATATTACTGGAGATGTCTCATTTCCTGTGGGATCCTCTTTTGAAGATGACTAAAAATTTACTGATCGATTAGATGATTAGAATAGTAAAAATAATCAAATCATAACATGGTTTCAGAATACTTCTACCGCTAGTATTCATCAACAGTTTGGGCGCTTTGAAACTGCTAAGGAGGTATGGGATCATCTTGCTAGCCGGTATACCTCTTCTAATTTGTCCAATCAATACCAACTGTAGAAGGACTTGGCTGTTCTCAAAATGGAGAAAGGTTAACCGTTGCTTGAGTTTCTTTCTAAAATAAAGGCTATTTGGGACCAACTAGCCTATTCTGAGCCTACTTTTAAAAATGATGAGGATGCTAAAGTTTTCTTCAAGTGGCAAGATCCACTTCGTCTTATACAATTCTTGATGGCTCTTACTGATAATTTTGAGCCTGTTCGTGCCTTTCTGCTCTACCAAAGCCTACTTTTGACCTTGAGGATGCTCTTCCTCGTCTTTGTTCCGAGGAAACTCGTTTGGGTCTTCTCCAACGATCCCCTGACATGGCTTTCGTTGCTCCTAGAAGGAATTCTAAACTTTATTGTCGTTGGCCTCAATCTACTCACACTTTTAATCAGTGTCCATATATTGAATGCAGAACTTGCCAGAAGAAGGGACATATTGCTTCAAATTATCCTTCTTTGACTTGTCATTATTGTAAGAAGCCTGGCCATTTTATTGATCAGTGCCCCACTCGACCTCCCAAACTTGATCAAGGGAGGTTATTCAAATCTGGTTTCTCATCATCCAAGCCTGCTCTATCTGTTACTGATGAGCCACCTATTGCTGCTGCTTCCACTTTGGGATCCTCTACTATTAAACTTGAGTCTTTACTCCGCAAGCTTATCTCCAGCTCTTTCAATCCATCTGCTGCCTTAGCCATACCTTCAGGTACACCTTCTTAGTATTTTGATTCTGCCTGTTGTAACCATATGACCAGTCAAAAATACTTTTTCTCCTCCATGTCACTTAATACTATTGCTCACCCTATATATACTGCCGATAACTCCCAAATGCCTATTAGTCACATTGGTACTATTTCCTTGCCCTCTCTGTCCATTCATGATACTTATTTGGTCCCTAACATTAGTTTTAATCTCCTATCTATCGAACAATTAGTTGATATGGGCTATGATGTTTTATTTAACAAATGTGGTTGTGTTGTTTCTAATTCTCAGACAAGACAGGTTATCGGGATTGGGCGTAAGGTTGGTCGAATGTTTGAGCTTAATTCCTTGCATCTTCCTGAAGTTACTTCTTCTAGATTGTGTGCTCCCTCCACTTCTACTTTGAATTATGGCATTGTTGTCTGGCTCATCCATCTTTAACTGCTTTTCATCTTTTACTTTCTACTAGTCTTTTAGGACATATTGATGTTGAGACTTTACATTGTATCTCTTGTCAAATTACTAAACAGCCTGCTTTATCATTTAATAAAAATGACTCTATTGCTAATGAGTCTTTTAATTTAGTACATTCTGATGTTTAGGGCCCAGCACCCACTCCCTCTATGGGAGGCTCACGATATTTTATGACTTTTGTTAGTGATTTCTCCCGTTATACTTGGATTTACATGATGAAAAGTCAATCTGAGTTGCCTAATATCTATATTAAATTTGCTACTATGGTTCATACTCAATTTTCTAAAGTTATAAAAATTTTTCACCGTGATAATGCCTTAGAATACCGGTATTCTAAATTGCTCAAATTTCTTGATGCTCAGGGTATAATCTCTCAATACTCATGCCCTTACACCTCTCAATAAAATGGCTGAGCTGAACAAAAACACCGTCATATTCTTGACTCAGTTTGAGCCCTCTTTATTTCTTCTTCCTGTCTTGAACGCTACTGGGGGGAAGCTACTTTAACCGCTGTCTATTGCATAAATAGAGTTCCTACCCCAGTTCTTAGTAATATTTCTCCTTTCAAGCACCTTCATAGTATTACTCTTGATTATAGTCTTTTAAAAGTGTTTGCCTATGTCTGTTTTGTTCTCCTCCCTCCACATGAAACTACTAAATTGCAAGCTCATGCCTATGTTTGTTGTTTTCTTGGTTATGACCCTGAGCATAAGGGTTATTATTGCTGGGATCCTATATCTCTTCACATTCGAATCTCTCGTCATGTTGTTTTTTTAGGAACATATGATGTTTTCATCCTTAACTGATTTCTCCTCCATTTCTCCTCCTTCACCTTCTATTTTCACAGATCTTTCGCTTGATCTTTTTCCAAGTGACATTGATGCAGATTCCCCTGTAGAGCTCACTACCAATGCTACGCCTGCTCCTGATATGCCTACTGTCATGCCTCAAGATGTTTTCACAGAAGCCACGTCTCCTGAGCCCGTATTATCCGATGATACTCGGCCCCACCATATAAGAAACCCGCCCTCTTACCTTAGTGATTACCATTATTTTTCTATTGTTCTCCAGTCACAGGAAGGCAAATCCTTTAAGGAAGCTTCTTGTGATCCCTTATGGTAGCAAGCTATAAATGAAGAATTACAGGCTTTGGAGAAAATGCACACTTAAGATCTTGTTGATCTTCCTTCTGGTAAAACTCTTATTGGTTGTCGATGGGTATACAAAAACAAGACTCATTCTGATGGCTCTTTAAAGCAATGTAAGGCCCGCTTGGTGGCCCAAGGGTTTACACAAGAATATAGTGTTGATTATGAGGAGACTTTTGCACCTGTTGCACACATGACTTCTGTTTGCAGTATTCTAGCCATTGCTGCTGTTAAGCACTGGTCCCTTCATTAGAGAGATGTTAAAAATGCTTTTTTAAATAGAGATCTAGAGGAAGAAGTGTATATAAAGCCTCTACCTGGGTATCAGCATCCGAAAGATAAGGTTTATCGTCTTTGTCGAGCTTTATATGGGCTCAAGCAAGCTCCTCGTGCATGGTTTGCTAAGTTTAGTAATACTATGAGTCAACTAGGCTTCACTTGTAGTCCTCACGACTCAGCTCTTTTTGTTCAATCTACTGCTCGTGGTATTGTTTTGTTGTTGTTGTATGTTGATGACATGATTATCACAGGCAGTGATGATACAGGAGTCCACGAGCTTAAGATATACTTGGGGCAGCAATTTGAAATGAAGGATCTTGGTAACTTGAACTATTTTCTTGGACTTGAGGTCCATCATAGGAGAGATGGTATGTCTCTCTCTCAGGTCAAGTATGCTATTGATTTAATATCTTAAGCTCATCTTTCTGATGAGGAGGTTGAAAATACTCCTATTGAGCTAAACGTTTACTATACTTCTACTGATAGCACCTTGTTGGATAATCCCACCCATTACCACCAGTTGGTTGGGGGCCTTATTTATCTTACTGTGACCCACCATGACATTGCTTATGCAGTCCACATTATTAGTCAGTTTATGTCAGAGCCTCGAACTACTCATTATGTAGTAGTTCTTCAGATCCTTCAGTACATCAGAGGCACTCTATATCATGGGCTTCATTTCTCTGCTAGCTCCTCTCTTACACTAGGAGCTTACTCGGATGCCGATTAGGGTGGTAATCGTGATGAAAAGTTTGAGAAGTTGAAAAGTGATGCGGAGACACCGTTGTATGCTGGTTGTAGTGCATCAAAGTTGTCAGCAGTGTTAAAATTGTACAACATACAGGCAAAACATGGATGGAGTGATGCAAGCTTTACTGAGTTGCTTGGGTACTTGAAAGTAGAATTACTTCCTAAGGAAAATGAGCTTCCTTGTCGAATATATGATGCAAAACAAGTATTGCGATCAATTGGCATGAGTTAGGAAAAGATACACTCGTGCCTTAATGATTGCCTTTTATTTCGGAATGAATATGCATCGTTAACCGAGTGTCCGAAGTGTAATGCCTCACGCTACAAGCAGAACGGATCAAGTCCCGCGAAGGCACTATGGTATTTTCCAATCGTGCCTAGATTTAGACACATGTATAGCAGTGTAGAAATTGCAAAAAACTTAACATGACATGTGGATGAAAGGATAAAAGATGGCATGCTTCGTCATCCTGCTGATTCTCCACAATGGAGAAAGATTGATTATGAGTACCTAAATTTGGGGAAGAGAGTAGGAATCTATGCCTTGCATTGTCTACCGACGGGATAAATCCTCATGGGATTCAAAGTAATAGCCACAGCACTTGGCCAGTCATTTTAGTGATTTATAACCTTCCTCCATGGCTTTGCATGAAGCGCAAGTATATGATGTTGTCCATGCTAATTGCGGGACCCAAGCGACCTGGGAATGACATAGACATATATTTGGCTCCTCTAATTGATGACTTGAAGATCATGTGGGAGTCAGGTATAGATGTATATGATGGGTATAGAGAAGAAAGATTTAATTTAAGAGCTATGCTCTTCGGTACAATTAATGACTTTCCTGCTTATGGCAATTTGTCAGGGTATAGCATTAAAGGGCAACTCGGATGCCCTATTTATGAAGAGGGAACACATTCTATAAGGCTTCAGCATGGGATGAAGAATGTTTACCTCGGCCACTGTAAGTTTTTACACCAAGACCATCATTATCGGCGGTTGAGAAAAGCGTTCAATGGAAATCCAGAAGAAGGTAAGACACGTTTGCCGTTAACTAGTGACGACTTGTTTGAGAAGATTAAAGATTTGGATATTGAATTTGGCAAACCATTTGCAAGGCACCTTGGGACAATCGGATGGAAGAAGAGATCTATTTTCTTTGAACTCCGTTATTGGACCACCTTGGATGTTCGGCATTTTCTTGATGTCATGCATATTGAAAAAAATGTCTGTGAGAGCCTTATTGGGACTTTACTCTAAGTGTTAGGAAAAACAAAAGATGGCATAAAAGCAAGGTTGGACATGGTCTCTTTAGGAATAAGAGAAGAATTAGCACCCTAAGATAAGGAGAACCGTACCTTTCTCCCTCCGGCAGCTTATACGCTATCTAAGAAAGAGAAAACTACATTTTATGAGTTCTTTAATGTAGTTAAAGTTCCTGAGGGTTACTCTTCAAACATAAAAAATATTGTATCAATGAAAGATTTGAAGTTGAAGGGCTTAAAGTCTCACGATTGCCATGTTTTAATGGAGGATTTCATTCCAGTTGCTATACGTGCAATTTTACCCCCTAAAGTACGAGGGACGGTCACTAAGTTATGTTTGTTTTTCAAGTCCATTTACAGTAAAGTGATTAACCCACATAAGATGCCAAGGTTGCAAGCTCGAATTGTATTAACACTATGTGAGTTTGAAATGTATTTTCCACCGGCATTCTTTGATATTATGATCCACCTAACTATTCACTTGGTTAGGGAGGTTCAAATGTGTGGGCCTGCTTATTTAAGATGGATGTATCCTATTGAGCGCTATATGAAGATTTTGAAAGGCTATGTGAAAAATCGAAGTCGACCGGAGGGTTGTATTGTTGAACGGTATATTTGTGAAGAGGCTGTTGACTTTCGTACTGAATACCTGAGTCATATTAGCTACGTTGGGCTTCCAAAGTCTCGAAGTATGGGTAGAATAAGTGGAGAGGGGATCATGGGAAACAAAGTCATTACTATGTCAAGTGTACAGTGGGAGCAAGCCCACTTATATGTGTTGCATAACAATGAAGAGATTGAAGAGTATGTAGATAAGCATATGGTTGAACTTAGGAGGGACAATCTCAATAAATCAGAAATTTGGTATGCTAGGGAACACAACAAAACTTTTACAAGATGGTTTAAGGAGCACATTCTTCAAAAGTTAAATGTTAATTCCAATTCAGTTTCTAACAAATTGAGATGGTTAGCTAACGGTCCAAGCAGACAGGCCATTTCTTACACTGCTTACCTTGTCAACAGATACATATTTTATACAAGGGAGTAAAATGATAGGAGCACAATGTAAAATAGTGGTGTAACTCTTGTAGCTCATTCCATGCATATTTCCAGCACTAAGGATAAAAATTCTATCTATGCAAACATGTCATATTTTGGTGTAATTGAGCATATATGGGATTTAGATTACATATCCTTTCGAGTTCCAGTCTTTGGGTGCAAGTGGATTGATCGAAAAAATGGCTTGAAATTTGATTACCAATTTAGCTTTGTATAAGTCAATTTAAACAAGGAAGGGTATAAGGATGAGCCTTTTATTTTAGTGCAACAAGCCAAACAAGTGTTTTATGTCCCTAACCCTGCTAATAAGGGGTGGTCTATTCTTATGTCACATGAAAAAATAAATGAAAATGTAGCAATTGAAGATGACCCATTCGAAGGGACATCAAATCAAAGTAACGACACTGTTGATGAAGCTCTATACATGAGAAATGATCACAATGAAGGCATTTGAATTTCAAAGAGGGGTAAATTATTTCAGCATAAGAAGAAAATATTTCAAGGAGGGGAAAGTAAAAAACCCAAGTCAAGGAAATGAAAAAGAGCAACTTGAACATGTAACCTTTGAATTAATTATGCCATTTTTGTTTCATGTTTGAATTAATATAGTCGATTATATTTGAATTAATCATGGTTGATTAATTTTTTGAATTAATCATGGTTGATTAATTTTGAAATTTTATTGTGTTACAGGTAAATGGCTTCAAATTCTGAGTCCACTAAAATCCCTCCATCTGATCCCACTACAACTTCTACTGATGCTCCATCGTCACAAAAAAAATTGAAACAGGAATATTACAATATCCAGCAAGGCCTAACAATAATGGAAGAAGTCACAAAAACAAGAGCAGTAGGGAAAAAAATATCAGTACAGTGGAACAAGAAAGGCCAAGCCATCAAATCTGCAAAGTTTATAAGTTATTTTAGGGTTGTGACAAAGACAACTGTACCTATCACGCAGAAATCTTAGCGCAAAGTTGATCAAGCCATGAAGGACATTGTTTGGGAGATTTTATCTATAAGTTGCATTTGACTAAGTTATATTTTATTATAATATTTTAAATTGATGCACCTAACATATTTATTTTATTTTACAGTCAGGATTTGAAATAGACGAGAGCAAGAAGGATTTTGTCCTTCAAAAGGCTGGGAGGGCATTACGATCTTTCAGATATTTTATTACACAAAAATATTTGAAAGACCCTGATGCTGAATTTGTAGCCTAAGTTCCTCCTTTATTATAGCCTTTAGTAAAGCAAGAAGATTGGGATGCTTTTGTTGTCTCTCGGCGCGAGAAGGAATTTAAGGTATTTATGTTTCTAAAATTTAAATTTTAGTGCCTTTTATTGAATATATCTATGTGTACTAATAGGATATTTTTGTTATTGATTAAAGGAACTGAGCGCCCAAAATAAGAAGAGAGTGGCCAAGAATGAATACCTTTATAGAGCAGGAAGGTTAGGGTATGCAGGCGTGGAGCAGAAAGAAGTTGAGGCTGAGGGATTGGATGTTACCATATCCCTCCAAAGACTTTGGGCATTGGCACGAACAAATAAAGATTGAGTGATTGACAACCCTCGTGTGAAAGAGGTTGCTAAAAAAATTGTAAGTGTTATTCTTATCTATCAATTAATAAATGATTATTAAAAGGCATACTAATTAGCTCTACTTTTCACAGGATTCCCTCTCTCAAGAAGTATCACAGGGCAAGCTTCTTGAGCATGAGAATATCTTAGCTAGAGCATTGGGGACCCCTGACCACCCTGGTCGTGTTAGGGGTGTTGGCTCCGGTGTCACAAAGAAGCAATACTTTGGCAAGATTAAGAAGCGAACATCGACTTCTTCATCCGAGGTCCAACAGTTGAGAGAAGAGCAAGCTGTTATGAAGCAACAGCTAGAAGCCCAAGTGAAGTTAATTGACATGCTATTGAAGGGCCAGATCCCTGGGAGGCTTTTGGGTGACGTTAGCCCCAGTGGAAAAGATAGCTGCACAGTCCCTTCAGACAAAATACCCGAGGTAATGCATTTTCTCTTTTAAATTTGTTCAACTAATTTTTTATCTAAACAACTAACGTTCTTCATTTATTTAGGGCGAGAATGACTGCAACTGTTTAGCAGACGATCCGTCACGCAAAGTAGTTGCAACGGGACACATGTATAACATTGCCGGGGATACAATCCATAACCTTCCCCTCCTGCCCGATTGCATTAGGGTTTCCTTGCTTGTTGCAATCGGGCAGGAGACGGTAGGAGATGAGATGCAGACGGTAGGAGATGCGTTGGGGAGCTTCATTGCATGGCCCAGCCACCTTGTTATGGTTGGTACACTAAAGCTGACAAAGGACCCAAAGCCGTCAAAGGACCCCTTGCCACCAAAGAAAAAGGTATATATGATTTATTTAATTATTTAAAATCTTTAATATATATGTATATATATATATGTCTAACTTTTTCATTGTATAGCCAAGGGGGAAAAGCAAATTGAAGGGTAAGGTGTCGGGCCATACTAAAGAGTCAGTCACGGTTTCACAACATACAGTGCCTATGCCTGTTGTAGAAAACAAATTCCATGACTCTCTTGAGACCTATGCTTCGGCTATGAGGATGATTTGTCAAGAGCCGATAGGGGATATCATTAATTTTGACGATGTGCTATTTGGTAGAGCATCATTTGAAGTCGTTCGGGATGAAATTTTGAATGAAATCCTCAAGCATGATATGGCGAGCACTAGTTTGATGACTTCCTACATGAGGTAATTCTTCAATATTTATTACTTAATTTTTTGAATTATTTATGTGTGTGAGTATGCAAGCATATTAACTTGTATATTTTTTCACCCAAGTCACCTTTATACCTCATTCGTGGTTCCTGGTAGCCTCGAGTTAAAGATCAAGCTAGTTAATCCTCACGATGTCTCTCCCCACAATAATATTACAAAGGAAGCCCTTGAAAATCAAGCAAGAATGCTTTCGGATCAATTTCAAGAAAGGGGAGCAGCGAAGGATACTTTATTTCTCGCTCCTTACTGCCAAAGGTGAGTTGTTAATATTTGTTACGAGTAAATATTTTTTTATATTTATTTATTTGGTAACATGTGCTGTTTCTTGTTAGGGGACACTGGATGCTTATTGTGGTTAATCCTGTTGCTCCAAAAATATGGTATCTCGATCCCCTTAATGGAAAGCCAAGCAACAGGAAAGATATGGTGGTACTTTTTAATGAGTAAGTTGGATTTTTTTTACTTGTTATTTCTTTTTAATTTTAGTTTTCATTCATATATATTTCTCACATTCATTCCATAATTCCTTCTTAGAGCTGTGGTGTTGTATCGCACTGCGACCGACATGACTATGTCCCCTAAGATGAGGGCATTCGAATCTTCAGAGAAATGGGTCACTATTAAGGTATTCGTTTAATTGGTCAAGTTTTTAATCAAGAAATTGTCTCATTATATTTTACAATTTCATTAATATGTGTTTTTTTATAGTGTCCATTCTAGTTAGATCAGAGCAATGACTATGGTTATTGCTTGATGAAGTTCATGAAGGACATTATCACTCATGCCCCTACCACATTATCTAACAAGGTATATATATATATATAATTTAATTACACTTTAATTATAAATTTTAAATAATTTTAATTAGCTACCTATTAACTTGAAATTGTTGTAACTATTTGCTTACAGTACTTCGAGGACGTTTATTGCGTTCATTATACGACTGCACATGTAGAAGAGGTCCTTGAAGAGGTGGCCCAATGTGTTTTCAATATGTGGGTAGCAACAGTAGTTAGGCCGGTACAATAGTTAGTTACATTTATATACACATTTTTGGGCCAATTTTTATGGGATAGGCTACTTAATTTTGAAACATTAATTTACAAATAAGTTTAGATTTTAAGGTTAAATGTATAGGAATTTTTATGTTAATTAGATAGGAGATACTATTACAAACATTCATTATATTGCATTATTTTCATTGCTGGCTAGCTGTTTTTTATCTTTATCTGTATCTTTATACAGGAGGCTGCTTTAAAAGCAGCCACCATATTTAAAAAAATTATGTCATTAATACTTGACGGTTATTTCAAAATAACCGTCAAGTATCAATATAGTTAACACTTGTTTCAAAACAAGCGTCAAGTATTTGTAAATACTTGACGGTTATAAGAAAACAAGCGTCAAGTATTTATGGCCAAAAGAACTGGCAGGTTTTGGCCATAAAAATACTTGACGCTTGTTTTGAAAAAAGCGTCAAGTATTTATTCTGGGAAGTGCATATTTACTTCATATACTTGACGGTTTTTTTTCAAATAACCATCAAGTATAAGATTAATACTTGACGATTTTTAACCGTCAAGTATTATTTCTTTAATATATGTCGCACCCTTACTTGATGGTTAAAAACCGTCAAGTATTGTGAAAAATAAGCATCAAGTATGGGTATTTTCTGTGGTAGTGGTGGCGTGGGGTACATCACAGACCTTCTTCCTATGGTGCCACATCATGTCTTGCTGGTGCAATGGAAGGACCTCTGACTTTTTTTCCCTTCATTTCTCCTATGCTTTAAGGGTGTGTATTGTTCCATTTTCTTTCCTCTACATTAGAAGATCAGTGTATGTGCATAAGTGTACATTGGCGTATGGAATTTTTGAATTTTTCTTCCTTGTTCTGTTGTTGTTCGTGAATGTAAGGAGGTAAGGATTCAATTAAGCTAAAATTTGTGTCTTAGGAGTGGATTCACTTGAAAATTTTGGTTATTATAAGAGGAAGATGAGTTGATTTTCTTTGAGCATGAATTGTGTTCTCTTTGAAATTGAAATTGATTTTTTTTAATTAACAAATAGAACTTAGGAGGTTGAATGATTCCAATAATTATATTGAAGAATTTTTTTTGGGGAAATGGAATTGAGGAGGAAGAATTTGGAATATATTCGTTTAAGGTTTGATGCTTGCAAAGTGTTTCATAAAATGCAAGGAGTTGAGAATTGGTCATCTGAATCGATGAGGGAAAAAGAGCTTTTTGTTCAGAGGTATTCTTATAGAAATTTTTTTGTTGTGTCTTGATAAAAGGTTGAATAGCATAATTTGATTTTTCCATTCCCTTTAAATTCTTTATTATGTCATTGAATTTGGGTTTTTCTTTTTGATGAATGAATTTAAGGATCAGTAAATTGTGAGAAGATTTGTTGATGTTTATATGTGATGTGGATAGAGAATAAAGAAAGCAAGAAGCTTGTTGTATTGACTTTTTTCTCTGGCACATAAAGTGTTTGACATAATGTTTGAGTGAAGAATTTTAATTAAATGAGTACCTAAACTTGAGCAAGTTAATCCTAGTTAAAATTTTATGTTTAGGTCACTTGGTTTTTCATCAACAGATATATATGTAAATATGTTTGTGTGTGTGTTCATGTCTGTATGTGTATCATATCTATATTGAGATGATGTGCTTGAAAACTTGTGAGAGCATTTGATTAAGGATCAAGATGATGGATGGTAGGTGGTAATTTATAAATGGTATGAATATAATAAAGTTTAAAAGTGTTTCTTAGGTAGCTAAAGTATATCTTAAGTGAGATTAAACATGGAGTGAAGTTATGACATTTTATCTTTATCTTGTAAATATAAGGAATTTATTAAATAGATAATATAATATTACTCTTTCTAATATGCAGGCTTTAAAAAAAGGAAAAATTACATCTAGGTCCCATGGATGGAAATTTATTATTGAGAGGTCTCACAAATTTCACAAAATACTCCCAAATCTCAAATCCTACGCATTAACAATTTGACTAAGGACATTAATAACTGGGCAACAGCCATTGAAAATTGGATAATGATAAGTTGTAAATGACCATTGCCCAGTTGTCAATGCCCTTAGTCAAGTTGTCAATGCACAGGATTTGGAATTTGGGAGTATTTTATGAAATTTAAGGAACCTCTCGGTAATAAACTTTCGTTTGTGGGACCTAGACATAACTTTCCCTAAAAAAATAAAGAAGCCATGATATGTTGATGATAATGCATTGATTGAATAGTAATTTTTGGAGTATGTGCAATGTTAATGTGTTATTGAAGAAGGATTATAATTCCTATTTGGATATTAGGTGGCTATAAGGGTGATTTACTTTGAGGTCATTGAGAGAGTAAATAGTAATCTTGAAAGTTTATTAGATAAGTGAATAACATCCTAATTAATTTATAAATTAATTCCATATATTCAAATATTGTTAAATTTCCACACACATATAAATATAATTTCAATTTCTAATATTCATTATTTTGAAAGGAAATAGGGAAAATGACAATTACAGACCCTAAAAAGGTAATAATGACAATTTTAGACCTTGAAAAAGTGAAATCCCTTTTAAAAGACCATGGTCTTTATTTGCAATTAAAAGTTTAACAAATTCATGAATTTACCCTTATGTGTAAATGCAAAGAATAGCTCATTGAAGTCTTAATTTTTTCAACAAGAAATCCTTCTCTTTGTTTCAAAGCTGCTCTACTTGCTTTCAATCTTGGTCTTTGCATTACAAAAAAACAATGGATTAGCGACAGAAAATTCTATCGCTTATCAATACAAATTTCGTTACTAACCCATTTAGTGATGGAATAAGTCCATCGGTAAAAACACCATTATTGATTTGTTAGCAATGGAATTTTAAATTTCATCACCAATTAGCTATGGAATTAGTGACGAAATTGCAATTTCGTTGCTAATTAGAGATGGAAAATTTTTGTCCCCAAACAAGAGTAAGCTATTCCAATTTTGTGACGAAATGCATTCCGTCACTAATCCGTTGCAAATGAAAATTCTGTAAAAAATTACCATTTCTATATCACCCAATGGATCAGTGCCACCTCATTACCATGTTATTGTCATCTCATCATCCCCTCCCTGCTACATTACCACCATGTTATATATTAACTTCAAATGCGCTTTGGCCAAGTTTAAACCCATAGCCTCACACCTCCATGAGTCTTTGCATCTAACCTTATTGCCAGTTGAGCTGAAGAAAATCTTCAGTTTTTAGTTGATAAATTAAAAATATAATATATAACAAACCATATATATATATATCAATAAATATATAATTTAAATATATTTATTTTATTTAACATTATTTTTATTTATGAATAAAATAAATTAATATTTTATTTAGTACTTATTTTATATTATATTATAATTTTTAAAATTATCTTTTGATAGAAAATTTAATATTATAATGAACAAATATCACTATATATTATATTATAATTTTTATAGTATATAATATTTCATGTTTTTAAAATTATTTTTAAAAAATATTTTTATTTTTAAATAAAAGTAATTAGGTATGTTACTATGCTATAACAAATAATTAAATATATAATTTAAATTATTATAATTATTATTAATATCTAAATAATTTGAAATGATAAATTATAATTATTAAACTATTTATTTATTGCATAATAATAAATTATTAAATAAATTATATATAAATATATATTATAAGTCATATAATAATATTTAAAATAATTTGTGATGAAAAGGTTTATGACGGAATTTTTCATTGCAAATACTATCACAAAATAAGAAAAACGTATCCTAAAAATTAGCGACAGACATTTCTATCACAAATTTTTGTCGCTAAATTTTCTCTAACGATTTAGAGATGGAATAGTAACGAAATTTTTAGTGACGGAACATTTGGTTGCTAAATGCTGCCGGTAAAATTATTTCTGATGGTTTAATGATGGAATAGCGACTATATTTAGCGAGGAATGTTCTGTCATTAAATTCTGTCAGTAAATTAGTGACGGAATTAGCAATAAAAATTTATCTCGTCACTAAATTTCATGACTAATTTGTTGTTTTTTTGCTGTGTTGTGCGAAGTGGCGTGTCTTGTAACTGTAGCATGTCTTGTAACCCATATATTTGACAAAATGGATCATCTTGTTATTTTTATATGTGCATTCCTTTGTTTGTTTTTTTTTTTCGGTTGGGCTTTTTGACCAAAATGCTACAAAATGAAAAAGAAATTTCTCATATACTATACTTTGAAAATTATTTCCGTACATACTATAAAGGCCAATTAGTTCGGTTTCTAGCATACCCATTTCTTTGTATCAGAATCTTTCTAGTAAAAATGGTACGGAGCATTCAGGTAAAAAAAAAAAAAAAAAGAAGAGAACATGGTACGGAGAAAATTCTTGACAATGAAAATTCATTTCTGACAAACCAATTTGACCAAATATTCTCTTACTTGGTCTTTAAAATACCGAGTTACAAAAAGGGGAATTTGTCTTGCGCGGAAAGCGGTTTCTGCCACCCCAAGTTTGCTTTATTACTTTTCTTAAATGTTGCTATCGGAATGTGACACCACGCGGCAATAATGGAAAGATGTGACACCACATGTGCATGAAAATATTTGCAATCTCAAGTCTTAATGGTTTATGAGCACTTTCTTGCAGTGTTTTAATTTGTTCATCGTCATGCATACTTTTTTTCTTCCCTTATTTTTTAACATGTGCATCTACAGTTACAAAGTTTTAAAAATAAATATAGGTTTCACAACGGATACATGAGGTCTTTTTTCCCTTTGTTTTATCTTCCAACGTATGCATCCTCGACCCCCTTTGGTCCAATTTTTTTTTTTTTGCAAGTGTTGGATTTATCTTTCCTTACCTCTCAAAGATTTTTTTTATTTTATTATTAGATTTAAGAAGGTAAGCACATTTATCACAAAATTTAATATTGTAATTATGATAAAAAAAATTTTTTATGTATGTTTAAAATTTTTTATGCATATAACACTATTACAAAAATTATCTTTTTGAATGTACTTTTTAGAGCGCTTACGAAAAAGTGCTATTAAATGTAGAGGTAGAACCTAAAAGAATGCTTTGAAAACAAAGCACTCCTATAATATAAGTCTTTAAGAGCGCTCAATAAATGGGCGCTCCAAAACATCATACAAAAAAGTTTAAA